AATAAGATGTTTACCTTCTATCTGATTATATTTATCAATAATTAGTTACACGAGTTTAAATATAAAGTTTTAATAAATTATACTTATACATAATTTACTTATACTTTTGAATTTTAATTAATATGAATCAACATACAATATTTCATACATTAAAAATAATTTTTAAGAATTTTTATCAAATACTTTATAATATAATACAAATTTATTTAGAGAATCTATAATGGGTTCTTAAAAAAGTGCTTAATTTAATAAGTTGGAAATGATATGACTTTGTATGTTTATAATATATAAGAAGCATTAAAAAAATGTAAAAGAATTGGAAATAAATAAGATCCATATGAAGCCAATGATTATAATCAGTTGTAATGCCATGGATTTGTGTTTGTGCAAAATGGAAACTTGGATTTTTAATACAATTTCTTCTTCTTCTAGACTTGAAATCAATTCAATATTACACAAACCAGCTGTTTCTTAACAACACCAAGAATAAAAAACCCTACCAATTTTTATTCTTCCACTCCATTCCCACTTAAATCATCCCATGGCATACTTCTGTGTCCAGCTACGAGCAGTGGCTTCGTATTTGGACTTATCAGTCTTGTACATGTGAGCGATTTCTGGCACCAAAGGGTCATCAGGGTTTGGGTCTGTTAACAGTGAGCAGATCGACAGCAAAACCTGCGCATTTTCATCACCAAGTTAAATCAACTTCTTCGACACAAAAACTAGCAAGAAATCCATAAAAGATGAGTTGAACCTTTGAGATTGTTAATGCTGGACTCCATTGTTCCTTGAGGATATCCAAGCATATGCTCCCATTGCTGTTGATGTTTGGATGGAACACCTTTGTCCTAAATGCAACCTATCAATCAAACTCTCATTTATTAACCAACAACTACACCTCCAGATGTATGCACCATTCAATTGTTGGCATTAACAACCAAATGAACATGTTCATCAGAAGATAGTGACAACCAGAGACAGCACTACCTTTGGTGGCTTGAAAGGGTAGTCAGGAGGAAAATGAATGGAAACTAAGAACACCCCACCAGAGTATGGACTATCAGAAGGTCCCATGATTGTTGCTTGCCACTGAAACATGTCCTCTGCCACAGGACCTATAAGAAACACATTGTTAGCAATACAAATAGCATCATCATTGGAGAAATTGCACTTAATAAATGTAGATAAAGATGATAAGAAACTACCCAAGTTTCATAAGCAAATCAGTCCTACAAGCAAATAAAGATTAGTACAAAATGGCACAAATACGGTTCACTATTTATGTGGTTCTAATAAAGCTTTTCTCGTAGGCCTCTGATATAAAACTAATGCATATAGAAACCCATGATCAAACTTAAGTACTTGAGTGGCTAATACATATGAACTGTCAAAAGCCAAGTTGTTTGTTTGAAGTCATCAATGTCCACATTGAAATAGAAGAATCAGTCAAAAAAGGGTAATAGTACCAACCAACTTATAAGGCATACACCTACTCAAGTTTCTCCCTTGCACCCGAAACTATCCAATTGAGAACAATTATCGAACATCATTAATCCATTCAGCAAGAATTCTATACAATGAACCTAAATCAGACATCTTTATCATTCAGCCATTAGTTACTCTGTTTTAGCAGAAAGAACCTGGTATAGATAGTTAAAATTTGTGAGAGCAAATATTGATCTGACGTCCACAAAAAAGCTAGGGCATGTCCCCTAGAGGATGGACATAACTCTTTCACATAATCTCTAGTTACTTGAACTTCATCACATAAACACCCTATAGCTTACAATTTTACATAATTAGCTGGCTCCCAAACCCAAATTCTCCAATGAACTAGAGTCCATAGATCCTCCATCACCTTGTTTCCAATGACAAAAACTGGCCAATTTAAGTGTATTTCACACTTGTTTAATATAATATACATCTACAACAGCCAACATAAACTAGCGTCCAAGCACAACCCAAAAGAACACATAGCAAAATTCCACATCACAAATAAACTTAAACAAGAAAACAATTGTTTTACCTGCGCTGCATGACGTAGGAGGGTCCTTCTGCAAATCCTTGAGCTCCTTCAAAATCCGTTTCGAAGCCATCACCAGAACAACTTACGATCTCGGAGCTATACTCTCACCACGTAAAGATAGATCGCGAGAGGACAGCAACAAATCAAACTCCGTCTAAACAAACCCTAATCCACATCAAACAAGAAACCCAGTCAACGACACAATTGAAAAACCGAAAAGCAAAATAATCAACGAGCAATTAGAGATCGATACTACCTTATCATTGTACAAGCAAACAATCGTAAATTCATCATCATGTATACACAACACAGAGGCACAAATTCAGAAACCTCGTCTGTGTATGTATAGAGATAAAAAGTAGAATTTTTAGAGAGAGAAAGTACCTGATCGAAGAAATATGGAAGCAGAACGAACGAAAATGTTGAATTTAGGGATAGGAAAGCAGATTTGAGAACCAATCGAATGGAAATGGGGGAAACAGAATTAGGGTTTCGATTTTGATTTTAGTGGGATTGGATTTATAGAGGGTTCGGATTCTAGAATTTTCTTGTGAATGTGGGGCCCAGAGAGTTGGCGTGTTATGAACGCAGGAGGTATTGGACTGTGGATGAGTTTTCCTCTTTTTCCCACTTCGGCCCAATTTTTGGCACATTTTTTTCCCTTTTTCTTTTAACCAATAAAATTATCCCCAAATTATATCAAATCCGTCATGTGATCAACTATTCGTTTTACGGGTAGTTCGGAGTCACCGTATTTGAACTTCCGTAGCCATAAGAAGATTTTTATTCCTTCATTCGATTCGAACATGAGACCTCCAAGCAATTTTGACCTTTAAAATTTAAGCTTAAACCAATTGGGCACCATCCTTGTAGTTAATTTAAGAGATTTTTGGTTCGCAGTATAAAATTTAATGAAATTGAAATTCATCAACAGATTTTGACTTTGAAAAAATTAAAATGAAGTTTAATGAAATTTGACCACATGTTTGATTGATAGAAATTGGAATCTCTATGTTTCTTTAAGAGGACGTACAACATAAGATTTACGTGATTCATCCCAAACTTCGTTCGAAACCCTCCCCCCCCCCCTCTCTCTCAATGTGTGTGTGTGTGTGTATATATATATATATATATATATATATAAGTTGTATGTTATACCCACGACACGTGTCATCCAGACACACTGCTAACGAGCCATGTAAACCTAAAGGGTCGCACATAAAGAACACTTATGCTTCCACTAAAGAAAAAATCTAAACATTTGTATCGTTTTGTGATTATTATAATTACAGGGTTTAATCTATAAATATGTATATAATTATCTTAAATGTTTTTAGATAATTATTTAAGATATTATTAGATAAATAAATAATCATTTTAAATAATGATTAAGCCTTACTAAGAGTTATGGCCAATCACGAAAACTGACCATATAAATAAGGCTTAGGGGATAAACCAAAGTAGACGATTTTGCATTCTGATAACTAGTTGTAGCCTCAAAACCCTTAGTATATAATTATAGAATTATAATTTTTTATAAAACATTATAGCCTTGACTTGATTCTTAAGACTTAAAACTTGACATTACACCCGTGTTTAGAAACTTGTATTCCTTCCGTATAACTAACTTATTCGATGGAAGTTGATGCATGCACACAACAAATGGGGGGTTGTTTGTGAGAGAATCAAAATATTTCATATTTCCCTACTTCTTTCTTCACCAACTAACAGTAACAGGTTTGAGAGAATCTACATATTTCATATTTCTCTCACCAACAAATGAGTGGTAGGTTTTTGAGTCCTTCTAATCGGAAGGAGCTCCGTTTTCGAAGTCGTATAGACGGGTCTGTTCGATCATTCTAACAACTTCATGGATGGTGGGTCGATTATCCGGGACCCGAACGACACACGCCAAACCAATCTGTAAAAATTGCACCATCTCCTCTTCAATGTCATGAAACCTCATAAGCTCGACATCGAAAACCTCAGCCGACCACTCTTCCCTTACCACCGATTGGACCCACCTCGGCAGATCCACGACCATGTCTTCTCTTCCTGGAGATTGGATCGGTTGTTTTCCAGTCAGCATCTCGAGGAGGAGGACACCAAAGCTGTAGACATCTGATTTATGGGAGTGTTTTCGGGTTTCAACAACTTCTGGAGCTCGGTATCCAGCAGTGTGGGAAGATGAGGGGGTGTTCATGAGAGGGGGTAAGCCGATATCGGAGATACAGCCATCCATATCTTGGTTGATGAGTACATTTGAGGCCTTGATGTTTCCATGACTGAACCTTGGACCTCCAATAGAATGGATATGGGCAATGCCTCTTGCAGTCCCTAGAACAATCTTCACTCTGTTTTCCCAATCTAATGGCATTCTGCCAACACCATTGTTTCCTGCGGTTTCAATACCAAACCAAATTTTAGCATCTCCAGCATTTTTCCAAATTATAGAAGAAAAAATAAGATAAAAAAAAGAAAATACATCTAACTTGGATAGTTTTCCATTTTAAAGATTTTAGCAATAATTAGGCCACCCACATGGCGCTTGCAAACACAATTGCAAATCAACTTTTGCCAAGTAGGAAAAACCTTGCAAAATTTGCAAGTCAATTTGAAAGCCACGTGGGCCACCCACTTTCCTCTAATTTTATTTTTCTTTTTTTTAATTATTTAAATAAATTATTTTTATACAAAACAATTAATTTTATAAATTAATAATGTTAATATATTTTTAATTACATTAATTATATAATAAATTAAATTATTTTAAACATTAAATTTTATAATTACATAAAATTATAATCTAATATATAAAATTATATNAATCGTTTTAATTAACATTGAATTAAAATAAAACATGTTATTAATTAAAAAATAATTAGAATGTATATATAAATAATTTATAAAATAGTTAATAAATGTTGTAGCGGGGACCACTTTTGAAAGTGTAGGTGATGTGGCACAGTTGAAAGTGTTATAGGTGAATTGCAGGTGTGTGGAGGATAATTGCAAAAGCTGATGTGGCATAATTGAAAGTGTAAATGGATTGCAGGGATGTGGATGGTCTTATATCCAATATATTCAACACCTGACAAACTACTAGCATTTAATTTGGTAGAAACATTTAATTTTGGAAGGTTTTTCAAATTTGAATACAATTTCTCTCCAACTTTATTGCAGATCAAGTTTTGGAGCATATATTGAAAGCAAAATAGTTGACTAACTCCATAATCTCAAAAAAAATTCATTTTGGGAAATCTGTATTTCTTTCTTTCTCCAACAGCTTCCCAAAATTAAAGAAACTAGCATAGTGGGGAAAATTTTCTACAAATTTAAAGAGCCCTACAAAATTATATGCACCCCTTTAGGTTTAAGACATCAAAATATATATTGAAAATATAAAATGAGGGGTTTGATGTTGACAAATGAGAAGAGAAAATTAGTAAAGAATGATATGTTTTAACAAATAGATAGAGATGTATTTATCATAACCCAAATTTAAATGGAGTAAAAAAGATAAGTTTTTTTAATTCTTCTCAAAAAGTTCTCTCTCGTCTATCAATAGAAGTAAATGGAGGAACATAAAGATTTCATTACATTAATAAATATTTATTTAATAATATAAAAAGAAAACCGTCCATTTAAAAGAAATTATAGAGAACGTGTTGTTATAATTAGGGGTGCTCAAAAACCCGATGAACCCGATGAACCCGACCAACCCAACCCGAATTTTTAAAAAAACACCCAACCCGAGGTAACCCGATGCATGATCGATAAAAAAATTAGCCAACCCGACCTTATTGGGTTGACATCGGGTCAGGCCCAAAAAAACCCGACCAACCCGATGAACCCGACCTTAACTTTAGCTTTGAATTATAGATGACAATCATGACATGACCAACCTCAACGTCAAGAAAGCGAAAGCATCGGGGTTGGAAATGTCTAAAACTATTGTTGTTGATTGATGTATTATCATTTGGTTTGAATATTTTTATTGTAATATCTAAATATTTGATGAACTTGCATATTATCTTGAATAGTCGGTCGTATTTCAAAGGAAAGTTTCCTTTATTTTTATGTGATTTTACATTGTTTAAACACACCCCGATCAACCCGACCAACCCGATCAACCCGAGCGGGTTGGGTTGGGTTGGGTTGAACTTTTGTTTGGGTTGGGTTGGGTTGAAATTTTTCAAACCGCCAACATTGGGTTGGGTTACTAAAATGGCTCCAAACCGATCAACCCGGACCGTGAGCACCCCTAGTTATAATATCTAAACAGCAAATGATTAAAAAAGTGGAAAGGGGAGTGTGAAAAATGTGCATACCATGTAAGAGGGACATTAAGCTACCCCCTTGGAAATAATCATAGACAAGAAGCTTCTCATCCTTGGAGTAATAATAAGCACGAAGAGGCACAACATTTGGGTGCTGTCCAACTCTCCCTATAATCTCCATTTGCTGTTCAAAGTCATTCCTTCCAACCGCTACTTCTTTCATCCTTTTCACAACCACAGTCATCGACTCTTCCAATTCCAACACAGCCTTGTAAGCTGTCCCAAAACTACCCTTTCCAAGCACCTCAGCAGAAGCCCGCAACAAGTCGTCAAGATCAAAGTTAAAAGAACAACCTTCAAAAAGAACCAGCTTATTATTATTTTTAATGTTTTCAAAGTACGACAAATACAACAAATAAACTCACACTTACTCACCTTCAAAGAAAACCAGCCTGTTATTTTCAGACTCTACCACCCCACTACCAAATTCCGCCCTCGGATTCTCACCCCTTCCGTCGGTGGGAGACTTCCCTCTCCGCACCCTACTTTCATCACTACTTTTATTCTTAAGAAAGCAGAAAACGAAAAGAGCAACTAAAAGTAAACCTGCAACCACTCCTCCAACTGCAATGGCTATAATAGCCCAAAATGGGAATTTCCTTTTGGGGCTGGGTCGGGAAGGAGGATGGAGGGGACAAGACTTCAGAGGTGGTCCACACAAGAAAGGGTTCCCTGTAAATGATGAATATGGGAAAGTTTTGAAGGAAGATGGAATAGAGCCGTTGAGATTATTGTAGCTCATGTTTATATGTTTGAGTTTTGAGAATGTGACATTGGGGATTGGGCCGGAAATGGAGTTATTTTGGAGGTAGAATCCAGTTAGGCTTGTCAAATACTGGATCGTTGCTGGGATATTGCCGGTGAAGGAATTGAATGATAGATCCAAGATATGCAGTCGGCGAGGAAAGAAGGCTGGAATGTTACTGGTGAAGTTGTTATGTTGAAGGAACAGAGAGCGGAGAGAAGGGAGGGAAAGGAGATCAGATGGTAAATTTCCATAGAGGCGATTCGATCTGAGGCTTAAAACTCTCAATGCATCCAACTCTCCAAGAGTATTGGGAGGTATGGGGCCATTAAGTCCAGAGGCAGGAAGTCGAACAGTAAGCACACGGGTGGCATCAGAGTTACAGGTAATCCCGACCCATGAAGTGCAGATATCAGTAGCATTGCTCCAGTCGAGCCTTGGACCATGAGGTACATCAGCAGCAAATGAAAGAAGAGCTTGTCTATCTGAGTCTAAGTCGGCACATGCCAGAGGCAGAAGGGAAAGTATGACAAAGAATGGCCAAACCCGGAGCAGTTGAGCACGGCAGAGTTTCATGAGGAACTGTTCACCCATACAAAGCTTATAAACAGACGTCAGTGGATTTTCCTGGTTCAGCACACACAAACAGAAGATTTAGATGACGATAGTGAAAGTACTTCATTTACTATGCCTAGGAAATGTGTAGGGCCGTCCCAATACTTTTGGAGACCTTGTTACACCTCATACAAAGACTATAGATCGACTTAACGAGTGATAGAATAAAAAAATATACAAGTTTATACCATATATAAGAAAAAAAGTAAAAGCCTTAACATTTATAATTGTGCTAAGGGGCTAAAACATATATACTTGGGCTAAAGGCTAAAACATGTATAATTCCACCCCAAAAATGTTGGGGCCCCTGTTCCTGTGTTCCATATCTTATATTGGAACACCCTGAAGCTGCCCTGCGAATGCATACAAAAGCAACAGGCCAAAGGTTGACAAGAAAGAGAGAAGTGCACAAAATGTTTATGTGGATTAGGCAGCAGCTTAAAGAACAAGAAACAAAATTGTCAACGTAAACTAAGAACACATCTATCTGAAACTGATGCACAATTACACTCTTCACTCTAGAAAAGGAACCTTTAACCATGCTTATATTACACTAGCAAGTAGATGAAATGGTCTTTCCCTTGTGTTTAAAGGTTCAAACACACAAAGAGTTCCAGGTACATGTTTCTCTATTTCGCACAAACAATAAAGAGCTAGCTGAGAAGAATATGATGGGCTAGGAAGGTTGAACAGAAATTAAGGTGGGATTCTAAGCCAAGTCATGGTTGTCCGGTAGTTGGGTTTCTACATGAAATCACAGGACGGACAGATTATGATTTGTTCGCTGGCTAAAAATTGCAAGCCAACTCAAAAGATCAAGCAGGTTACAACACATGTATTTAAAAAGGGGAAAAGGTATCAAATCCAGACCAGGAAGCGAAAAAGGGATTTAAAAAGAGAGAACTTCATACAGCATGTAACCATTTTGTTTCTTCCACCTTCTATTCAAAAAGCAACAAAATGGAAAGAAAAAAACCCAGGTCTTTGTTCTTTAAGTAGACGTTGTTTCAGACGCTCTATGATATTTTAAATCATATGGCAATATAGCATTTATTCACAAATTTGATAGGGCAAATCAATCTAGATTTGTACAAGAAAGCTTCAAACAGCAAAACTCTCCACAAACATATTTGATTGCTACAATGATGATTTCTAAATGTCATGTCAACTACTGCGTAGCTGGAACTCCCTTACATCAATGTTATACATAGAAGTATAGAACTTTCTAGATTTCCCATACTAAAAGCGAGGAGGCATATATCAATTTGGTTATATAAAATTATTTTTGTGGATTTGCGCATAGAATGTGAACTAGGTTTGAGATGAATTCAATTACGTAATCTACCAAACTTCTATCATTCAAAAGTAATTAACATTAGTAACACACCATCTCTGCATCATAACACTATTTTCGTACAATGAAAAACATAAAAACTCTAAATACATGAAAAACCTACTACTGTAAAAATCCGAATCTGATTACAAGTTTTAACATGTCGTTCAGATTAAGTTTCTACATAATAAATAAATTTAATCTACAAAATACAAATAGATCTGCCGAACTTTAAGCTATTGAACTTCGCATCTATTTATCTCATTTCCTACTAGGATCTAACGTCTCACCCTCCCTCGAAAAACTCTATTCGAACGAAGTATAATTAAATTGCGAATACGAACACAACCTTAACCAGAATGCATTAATTGTTAGTCAGATACACAGATTTTACGCCAGTGTCGCTCAATTGCAAATGGCATGCAAGTAAATGAACTTTTCACAGAACAAAATCACGAATCAGCACACATTTAAACTCACATAACTAAATTGCATACAAATAAACGAACTCTTGGAGACTTGGACGAGCAAAATCACACGCAGAGATTTTAACCTTACAGAACCTTTCTTATTCAATTGCTTACAAGTAAATGAAGATTTCACCGAACAAAACTACACACGCACGCGCGAATTTCAAAGCAAACTCACCTTCAAACTACTTCCGAAGATCTTATGTTTGATTGCTGAGCATTAAAAGTTCAAACTATTAAAGCAGTTATCATTTTTCAGCCAATGCACCGAACACATTCTCCTGCAAAACTCCAACAGCATTTTCTTCGCGAGATTCGGGCGATGCAGAAATTAACAGATCTTAATTTACGAGAAAGTGAAACCTGCCCAATTGAAATTGATTTGAAAGCAATGAACCAAACATCTAGAATTTCGCCAGCATTTCAACTTACACATTCAAATGCAACGTATAATAGGTCTTGCTAAACTAGATTCAA